ATATATAAGGGAGATAGGAAGAGCCTTAAAAAACCCTATTTACAGATAGATTCTGCCAACTCATGCATATGCTTCACAGACATACATACATACACATATACATACATACATACATATACACACATATGTATATACATTGAGAAGAGAAAGGCTTCTTTAGGAATCTTGAATCTATGATCTGTGAATTTTCGAGGCTGGTTCCCCATCTCGTCGTCGGACTATGGGATATGTACAAGAACAATTAACTTCATTAACCATGTGTTTCAAATTATACTGCAATTAGCTACAGTCCGCGCCAATAGGTGTTGCATACATTTTGTCATCCTGCCGTGGTTGGTCGCGCGCGTTGAACTTTATAGCTCGCGTCCAGCTCGATGTGCCTGTTGATGCATGCCTCATCTGAGTGCATTGTCTCCATGAATTCACGGCCTTTTCTGGTTGGGCAAGAGCCGACAATCCGTGTGTTGTCCCACACGAATTTCTGACCTGTTTTTAATGTGTGCATGGCCACCTGGGATAAGCGTTCTCGCCTGTTGACCACCAATTGATGTTTGTGTATGCGGGTTGAGGCACATTTCCCAGTTTTTTCACAATAAACTGCATATTAACTGGCACACGGGATCTTGTAGACAACACCTTTTCTCTCAAGATAGCTTAGCCTGTCCTTAGGGTGTACGAGCTGTGAGCGCAAGGTGGTTGCGGGCTGGTTTGCCACTTGTATCTGATATTTTCTTAGTTGTCTCTCAACAAGCTCAGATACGTTTTTCACGTATAGAAGACTTCTCCAGGTTGTTGTTTTGGAAGCCTGGGTCGTATTATCATTTGAAATGCCTCTTTGTTTAGATTCCTGTCGTTTCACGCACTGACGCACGAAGTTTCTTGGATATACATTTTTGGAGAATAGTTGGAAGAGGTATTTCGTTTCTGCTTGGTAGCTTTCTTCATCAGAGCAGTGGTTTTTGGCTCAGGTTAGGAGGCTTTAAACAGTAGGCTGTAGACATACATACATACATACATACATAAAGCAGTTTACATATATGATGAAAGGTTGGAGATTGGAGGAGTAAACGCACATTTGAGGTTGTTTATTTAGTTCATTGGGTTGACTTGAGGCGC